TAAAGATGGGTTTCCTTATTTTTTAGTGTCAAATTAAAGATGGGTTTCCTTTATTTTTTAGTGTCAAATTAAGCAAACTATTTGATTAATTGGTGTTTCTAATGAATTATCATGTATTCTTAATCATATCATTATGTTCTTATTGCATATAATTAAGAGTTTTAACCAATCATAAATGTCCATGTATGTACAGTCTGGATAAACAAAAACGACTTTTTGACCTTTCTTGATCAGTCACTCATTGGAATTCTGTTGGTAATTCTCTCCTAATTTGACTTATTATGAATTAATTATGGACATGTGAGACAAACTGGTATTTTTCCAAGTCATTAGAACACCTCTACTTTCTATTCATATAAGTATTAGCATTTTCATTTTCATAAATGAAAATAAGGGAACCCATCTTTAAATGGAAATTTTTCTAATGCTGTTTATATTTGAACATCCTTTAACTTGGTCACAAGGTTTAACTGTCACCAGAATTGCACAGACTTATCAAGATTTACTGCCCCTGACTCACTGATATATATATTATATTGTAGAAAGAGAAGAGAATGTAAAGGCTGATATTTTCCACGCCTATATTACATTATTGCGACAAACCAAACCTTCAATGTCCTCTTCTTCAGAGGATATGGAGGATGCTGGGTAAGTTTAGTCTCTCATGAGTTACTGCCCTTAAAATTTGCAATAACAATCCAATCATATTAGACATGAAAAATTTGTTCTCGTGAGGTTCTATAGTTCAGTCGGTTAGAGCTTGGTTCTTTCCATGACATCATTTGCTTGGTTACCTCCCAACAAATGGCTGCTGTGGGTTCCAATCTTGATCGTCGTGTTAAAGTCTGATGACTTTGAATAAGTCATCTTGACTCATAATTCCAGTAAACCCAGCTGTAAATGGGTACGGATAATCCGGGAAAGATCAATGTCAAGAGGTTTGGTCAAGGACCAGCTGGTAGAAAGGATTCTTGTGAACCTAAGTTATTAACCTTGTAAAAAATAGTTTCTTTCCTTCTTTCACAAAAGACTTTAAAAGACTAAAGTGCATTGATCTGATTGGTTGATAAAACTAAATTTCCCTCATTGCACACTGCATAGTATTGCTAGTCTTGAACACTTTTCTAACAAAAAAAAAAAAATTATTTTTCGATTTTATTTTACATTGAAATTTCTGGTTTATTGACCCGTATCCCTTTTTATTTTGCAGTCCTCTGAATATGTTAGAAGTGCAAATACCTGATATAATCAAAGCTATTCATAAACAATTGAAAGAAAAAAGCATAAAGACTCGACAGGGCTGTTTTAGTCTACTAACGGAACTGGTGCAGGTTTTACCTGGAGCCCTTACTAATCATCTCTCTTCTTTAGTCTCTGGTATACAGTATTCACTCAGGTGAGTAATGATATGGCCTTAAACCAGATTTCATTCTGAAAAGTGACACAGACGGCAAATAGTCATTCAGATGGGACAATAAATCAAAGCTTAGTGTGCTACAGGCTGTGCATGTTAAAGATCCCTCGACAGTTGGAAATAAAACAAAAGTAGATACTCTGAACACTATCACTGATTGGCTAAGCTAAAATATTCCCATTTCTAAGACTAAGGTACGATTGGTCAAAAAAAAATGCCGCAATGGTCCCTTTAAAGCTAGAATCAGCACCCACGAGCTAACTGAAAAATCTGAATTTTTTGATTGCAGCGATAAGAATTCGTCATCTAACATGAAGATAGATACCCTGTCTTTTGTTAACTGTATCTTAACTCATCATCCACCTACAGTATTCCATAGTCACATCAATGTATTAGTTCCGGTAAGTTAGGGTGAAAATATAATTGAATTTACGAAAGCACAGGCAGAGGAGAACATTCAGTAACACTAATTATTGTTATGTGCAAACAAAAAGTGGCGAGCGAAAAAAAACTCATAAAACAATATAAAACAAAACCAAAAAACTTATAGATACATTGAAATTAATGGGAAACAAGTTTTGTAAATTGGTCACAAGTTAAATTGGTCACAGTAAATTGGTCACGAGTTGAATTGGCCACAGTTAATTGATCACGAGTTGAATTGGCCACAGTTAATTGATCACAAGTTGAATTGGCCACAAATTAAATTGGTCACAAGTTAAATTGATCACAAGTTGAATTGGCCACAAGTTAAATTGGTCACAGTTAATTGATCACTACGTGAATTGGTCACAACGTGAATTGGTCACAGTAAATTGGTCACAAGTTGAATTGGTCACAAGTTGAATTGGTCACAAGTTAAATTGATCACAAGTTGAATTGGCCACAAGTTAAATTGGTCACAGTTAATTGATCACAAGTTGAATTGGCCACAAGTTAAATTGGTCACAGTTAACTGATCACGACGTGAATTGGTCACAGTTAATTGGACACAGTTAATTGATCACGAGTTGAATTGATCACAAGTTAAATTGATCACAAGTTGAATTGGCCACAAGTTAAATTGGTCACAGTTAATTGATCACAACATGAATTGGTCACAGTAAATTGGTCACAAGTTGAATTGGTCACAAGTTGAATTGGTCACAAGTTAAATTGATCACAAGTTGAATTGGCCACAAGTTAAATTGGTCACAGTTAATTGATCACAAGTTGAATTGGCCACAAGTTAAATTGGTCACAGTTAGTTGATCACGACGTGAATTGGTCACAGTTAATTGGACACAGTTAATTGATCACGAGTTGAATTGATCACAAGTTAAATTGATCACAAGTTGAATTGGCCACAAGTTAAATTGGTCACAGTTAATTGATCACAACGTGAATTGGTCACAGTAAATTGGTCACAAGTTGAATTGGTCACAAGTTGAATTGGTCACAAGTTGAATTGGTCACAAAGTGAATTGGTCACAACGTGAATTTGTTACAGTAAATTGGTCACAGTTAATTAATCACGATTTGAATCGGTCACAAGTTGAATTGATCACATTAAATTGATCACGAGTTACACTGGCCACAGTAACGTGGTCACCACAGATGTCTGATTGAAAATTAGAATGATGTAAATTGATGCTATCAGTGTCCCTGATACACATACAAAATTTAGAAAACTTTTTTACAATCCCTTTAATGATATGTATATCTAAATAGCTTGATAATGTTCTCAATATTTCAGCCTATTGTTCATGCTGTTGGGGATCCATTCTACAAAATAACTTCAGAAGCCTTACTAGTGACACAACAGTTAGTGAAAGTTCTACGTCCACTTGGTACGTACAATCTATATCTCCATGGTTATCATATATTTCTCTTGGCATCTCATTTTAAACCAATCATTGATATGCCAAGTGACATTTTATTTTTGGTATGTCGACCCACCAACAACCAATTTTTAAAAAGCAGTCAACCAATAATTGCCAATTTTGGATATGTCAATACACACAATGTCATTAATTAAAATGGTCATTTATTGATATGTCAACTACCAATTAGCCTTCTTTGATATGTCAATTTCCAATTAGCATTCCTTGATATGTCAATTTCCAATTAGAATTCTTTGATATGTCAACTACCAATTTGCATGCCAACTGCCACCTTTGTCCGACCTAAAATGTCAACCAAAAACCAATTATCAAGACTTGATATGCCAATTAGCATTCCATGATATGCCAACTGCCCTTAATATGCCAACTGCCCTTGATATGCCAACTGCCACCTTTGTCAAACCTAAAGTGTCAACCAAATCCAAATTTCAAGACTTGATATGTCAACTGATACAGTGACATTACTTGACATAAGATGCCAATTTTGATATGTCAAGTTGTATTGAATATGATTTCAGATAGCCCAGTCCAGTTTGACTATAAACCATATGTAGGAGATCTCTATCAGTGTACTTTGAAACGTCTGAAAGCTTCAGATATAGACCAGGAAGTTAAAGAACGAGCGATCTCTTGCATGTAAGTATATTGAATATTCCTTAGATTTCTCAGTCCTGTG